ACGTTTCTAAAACGGATCGAAGCGCCGCGTTTTGCTACGAGTTTAGGGAGAGTTGCTCGGGGCGTCACGTCGGCGCCAGAAATTTACGATGAAAAGAACCCTCCCGCGCGGCCACGCTCAATGGAGTTGTAAGGAGGTTACGACAGCAGTAAACTCCGATCAATTTCGTTTCGTTGTTCCCCGTGTAGCACTGCAAAGGGCACGGGTACGTATACTGCTGAGGGAGAGTTAGCAACTTTGATCCCCTTCGGGGCCAGCGTCGGCCGCTAAATCGAACGGAACATTAAAGCGAATGTAAGCGGGTAAGAGATAATAGCTAAGCTCATTGGCGAGCGGGCCGCTTACTTCGAAAGTGCAGGTGCGAAGGCGGCGCGATTTATCGAATATAATTGTCAACGATTTGTTTTGACGATCGGCGATCCATACTTGATGGTACTTGGGGCGTGTCGCACATCCCCGGAGTATTCTCTAAAATTTTTGCCGTAACCGTAAATCCCGCCGCACACGCGCGTCGTTATCGCGCATGCTGCAAACATCAATAAAGGGACTCGGAATTTCTAAGATCGACGGTTGAATTTAAAGTTTCTTTACATCGGGTGGCGAAAGCGCTATTTTAAGACACGTACGTGCCGCAGAAAGCACGCCGCCACTTTCAGACCTCGGACGAGGACCTCACCCGGCTCTTAGCTCGACGACTGCCATCGTCGCCGTAGAAACGAATAAAAGTGTAACGCCAATCCTTTCGTTAAATGCTTCTTTCCGCTTTGGGAAACGGGCTTCCTCGCGCGAGGCAGCTCATAAATAGACCGATCACGCGCCTTCGCGGGTCTCGCGTGACCTCGAAAATTCGATTCGATCGCTCGAGGAGGGGAGAGAGCGCGCACAGCGAGAGAAAGAGCGACCGCGCCGAACTATATTTTACCCTGTCGATCTAGCGATCTAGCGAGCACACCGCTGCGACGCGATGATTCATTCCTGTTTACCTGGACGCTCGAAAGTTCGCGCAATACAACGACGGCAAAAAGACCGCCGGGAGTGCGTCGTCGTGTGTGCACATGCGAGATGTGTACGTCGGTTTGACGTGATGCATCGCGGTTTTACGCGTGACGATAAACGGTCCCGTCGCGTCGGGTTCTTGTCGCGAGTAGAGATTATCCGTAATGCCTGCGTAAACTGCATGGTTTTATCAGCACTATTACCGACTCGCGAATAGCATTTTTTCGCGTTACAATAAAGTTGGCGATGAATTTAACGAGCCGAAAACTTAAAGCTCTAAGCCCGTTGAATCAAAACTTTATTATCTCTAATTGCTTCAACAGCGCACTGCAAATGTTTTTCCGTCGATAAACTCATTGGCGCGATAATATTTTTCAATTCGAGGACCGACGCATCAGCCGATGTTTTAATTTCAACAATTTTATGTGAGCGTCGCGCTGCATTGTTCGAGCCAGTAAACGGATTACATCGCGCTTACTTTCGCGATCGCATTACCGTTCGCAAAAGTTTTTACGAATTTACGGGTCGATGAGCGCGATGTTAACGACATTCCCATTAGCAGTTCCCAGCCCTTAAAATGGCTCAAGTTAATACAACGACTTAAGTTTGTTCGATAATTACGTTCGTACGTGACAACATATCGAGTTAGCTAAAGAGTTTCTCCAAGATCAAGCGTGATATCGGAAAACTTCTTAAAAAGACTGACAACCTCTGAAAGAATATCTCCGCGTTATAAATTTCATTTTTCAAAGAACATCGGCACAATCGATATTCACGGCTATGCAGTTCTGCTCTGTGAAAATCGACGTAGACCGTAGATATAGTTTCCCTTCTTTTGAGAGGAACACTCGGCGAGCGGAAACTCGCATCAAGAAACGAACGATTCTGACAGTCGCGTCATCAACATTCAGCGTCTGTTCCGCAGAATTGCATCTTAATGCATCCTGTGTAACGGGTTCTTCGCACGCAACGGCGTAAGTTTGTTTGATAATTATGTTCGTACCTGACGACGCACATATCGAGTTTAGCGCCCCGTTGATTCCGTGCGGAAAAGACAACTACGTGCCTGCAGTGTTCAGAATCCTTGCAAGCTTATTTTCAGAAATCTCAAATGTTTTGCTTAATTTTTGTAAATAATTTTTTTTTTTTTCGTACATTCAATGGAAAAATTGTTTCGCTAAAAATTCTAAGAAAGTGCTTCAAATTGTCTGAACTTCCGAGTTTTTTGAAGAAAAGATCGATTCACACACACACACAGACAAGCGTGATAATACATGAAACCGCTCGGGAGATTTGCTGTCTGACTAGTTACATGATGTTACTACTGAATGCGAAAAAGGATGCCGGAAATTTGGCCGTGGCGTCAAACTCAGGCAGGTGCATGTCGGCGGCGCGAAGCTGACGGGCGAAAGCGAATTACCATCACGGGACTCGATGGTTCCCCGTGTACGTTCGCGCTACGACGCTTCGACACTCGCGGGCGACCCAGGTATCCGCGATGCAAATACAGCCCGACAATCGCGGAAGCGAGAAACTGCGACGCGTATCACCCCCACGGCGCGAGTATAACCGGCGACACGCGAAACGAAATAACGGCCGCGGGAAAGTGTTGGCGCAACAACGTGGAACTTCATCGCCGTAAGTAGCTTCCGATTGTGCACGCTGATAAAGTTCTCCGACACGCGTCTCGAGTATTTGCTGTGTGTTAATTGTAAGCAGACGAATCTAATTGCGACGTGGGGTGTACGAGAATCAGGATTACTAGTAGCGAATGAATTATGAAACGCGCGTAACTTTCATCGAGTTTAACACCGGCAATTCGTGTACAGATTAACGTACTCTCAAGCAGTTAATTCAGGGAGAAACGTTTGTCATAAGAATAACATCGCAGAAATAAGGTTAACGATAAAAGACCGAATAGCGAGCTGCGTTACATCCGGCGGTGCTCGGCGTGACAACGCTATCTTCTTCTCTCTTCCCGCTTTT